TATTTATTAATAATAATAATAATTTTTATTCCCATTTTCACCCCAAATCTCCCATTCCTCCTCCATTTTTTGCATTTTTACCCCTCATAATTCAAATTTCCCCTTTTTTTTTTTTTTAATTCAATTTTTTCCCCCTTCCCCAGAGCTCGCTCTGCTGGAAAGAAAAAACCCCAAAACACGCCAAAAATAAACCCCAAAAGGGCGGAAATTGGGAATTCCGCGCGCCTCAGTCAAGGATACCAAACTCCAAATGCAAAGTCAAGTTTTTCGGCAAATCCCAACAAGTTCACAGCCACAAAGTCCATTTTTTTCCCACTTTTTGTTGTTTTTTTCCGCCGTTTTTTGTTGCTTTCCCGCGCTGGGGGAACAAAGGGCGGCGGGCTCGGCTTTGGGCTCAGAATCGCCAATTCCGGGATTTTATGGAGTTTGGGGGGGATAAAAGCGAGGAAAAGGCCGAAAAAAAAATCCCATTTATTCCGTTTCTTCGCGCGCTCCTGTAAAATTCCCTTCTCCCTTTCAAGGCGCGCCGCTGTTAAGCGAGGAAAAAACAACAAAAAACCCCCAAAAAGCCCCAAAACCCCACAAAAATCCGCTTTGATGGCGGCCGCGTTTTATGGGAGGAAAATCTGGAGGAAAAAAACCACAAAAATGCGGCGGGTTCGCGCCCGTCGCAATTAAATCGCAATTAAATCCTAATTAAATCCAAATTAAATCCAAATTAACTCCGTGCGAGAGCTCCAAGGGATCGGCCTGGGCTGGTTCTGATTAAAACGGGGGGAAAAGGAATTTTATTTATTTATATTTCTCTTTATTTCTCTCTTTCACTTTATTTGTCTTTAATTATCTTTATTTATCCATATTTCTATTTTATTTTGTTTATTTATCTTTATTTCCCTTTATTTCTCTTCGGTTTTGCCTCTTCTGCTGGGCCCAAAACCTGAAAAAATTCGATTTTTTGGAGGTGCAAATGAAAATAAATCTGGAGATCCGAGGCTTCGCGGCCTGGGGAAAATACTCCCCCACAAAAGAAGCAAAAAAAAGTTTAAAAGATGCCAAAAAAAGTAAAAAATCCAGTTTAAAAGATGCTCAGAAGGATGGAGGGGAAAAAAAGAAAAAGGATGAAAAGTAAAAGGAATTTAAAAGAAAACAAAGGTAAGAAAAACCAAAATAAATATGCTTTAAAAAGACGAAATAATGGGGAAAAATAAAAAAGGAAAAAAAGAAAGAAAGGCTAGATAAAAGATTTTTTAAAATGAAAAAAAATTAAATTAAAAAATTTGAAAAAAAAATGGGGGGCGGGGGGGGGGGGGGGAGATCAAATTAAAAGGCCGAAATGGAACGTTAAAAAATCAGAGGAAAAAAAAAATCAAAATTAAAAGGCCGAAATGGAGCTTTAAAAAATCCGAGGAAAAAAAACCCTCAAATTATAAAGGCCGAAGTGGAGCTTTAAAAATCCGAGAAAAAAAACTCAAAAAGGCCGAAATGGAGCTTTAAAAAATCAGAGAAAAAAAAAAAAAACTCAAATTATAAAGGTCGAAGTGGAGCTTTAAAAAATCCGAGAAAAAAATCAAATTAAAAAGGCCGAAATGGCGCGTTAAAAATAAAATCCGAGAAAAAACTCAAATTAAAAAGGCCGAAATGGAGCTTTAAAAAATCCGAGAAAAAAATTCAAATTAAAAATGCCGAAATGGCGCGTTAAAAATAAAATCCGAGAAAAAACCTCAAATTAAAAAGGCCGAAGCGGAGCTTTAAAAAATCCGAGAAAAAAAAGAAATTAAAAAGGCCGAAGTGGAGCGTTCAAAGCCCGAGAGAAACGCACAGAAAAGGTGAAAAAAAGGTGAAAAGGGTGAAAAAGGCGAGCGGCGCGCCCCGCCGTGTTTGGGTGCGGCGGGCGGCGCACAAAGGCCCAGAGGAACCCACAGAAAAGGTGAAAAAAAGGTGAAAAAAAGGTGAAAAAAAGGTGAAAAAAAGGTGAAAAAAAGGTGAAAAGGGTGAAAAAGGCGAGCGGCGCGCCCCGGGGCCGAACCGCCGTGTTTGGGTGCGGCGGGCGGCGCACAAAGGCCCGGAGGAACCCACAGAAAAGGTGAAAAAAAGGTGAAAAAAAGGTGAAAAAAAGGTGAAAAAAAGGTGAAAAAAAGGTGAAAAAAAGGTGAAAAGGGTGAAAAGGCGAGCGGCGCGCCCCGCCGTGTTTGGGTGCGGCGGGCGGCGCACAAAAACCCGAGAGAAACGCGAAGTGCCGAGGCCCCGTCTAGACGGGCCCGCCGGGCTCATTAAGCTCTAAAGCCGCGCTCGTTAATTGCGTCTGGCCGCGCCGCTTCCGCAATTAGCGCGGGCCGCGCGACCGCCAGGCCCGGCTCCAGCCTCGCCCCTTCAGCCCGGGTTTAGCCCGAGGTCCCCTTTTTGTCCCGGGTTTACCCCGAGTTCCCCCTTTTTGTCCCAGTTTTACCCCGAGTTCCCCCTTTTGAACCGGGTTTACCCCGAGTTTCCCCTTTTTGTCCCAGTTTTACCCCGAGTTCCCCTTTTTGTCCCAGTTTTACCCCATTTATCTCCGG